AGCATTGTATGGATTTAATTATAAAAGGTAGTATATTTGTTACATACAGTATTTGACAATGAAGGATATTCAAATAATATTGTATAGGTTATATAAATAAGTAAATTAAATTTAATGGAACCTGTTTGACAGAAATCTTTTTCCAAAGTAAGCAGTTTACAGACTATAAATTTAAATTGACATTGTAACACATATAGTACAATTATTTAGTACTATTTTGCAATTCAGTGTTTCCCAAAATGGCCTCACCAACAGCTTCCATATCCCCAAGTCAATGCACCAATTGGCTTGACTGGGATTTGGTATCCAGTATCCCTAAGAGTACCATATTGAGAAAAAATACAGTTAAATTAATGCACCATCTGATTCAATTCTCTTTAGAAGGATTTTATTTTTCTCAGCTAAAACATAATTTCCAAAAATAGTAAAAGAATGAAGATTTTTACAATTTTACTCAGGAATGTACAAAAATCTGCAGATTAATAAACAATGGGCAAGTCTTCAAAACCTTCCATTTGTCATGAAAAAAGGAAAACTAAACTTGTGAGTTTGTGACTTGAAATCACTCAAAATGCCAGATCACCTATCACTTGAACCCAAAACAGGTTATTGTAATTAAAACATATTGTTAGATACTGTAACCCCGTTAATATTACAACTGAAATCTGCTTTTTTATGACAAATACTATTATTTTCAATTTTCAGTTAAGGTACTTTGGTTTTGTTTTCATTCACAACCTTACTTCTTTTTCTCACACTAAATTAAAAATAGTATTTATAGCTTCACAGTCTGTTGCCATGGAAATTGAGGTGCCATAGAAACAGCATGACTTTGCTGCAGGATTAAATAACTGTAAAAGGCGATGAAATGGAAATGAAACATATAAACTTACCAGAAAATGCTAGTTAAAATGAAAAACATAAAATAAATTATGTCTTACTGTGATTATTTCCAACACTGTCAGCTAATCAAAGTTCTCTTTTTATACTACTTGTATCAGAAAAAAATTCAAATTACTGCCATTGTTCAGAGTGGGAAGACAGAAAGCCATTTTAGTAAATAATTAGATACACAGTACCTCAGTACAATTGAAATGCACAGCATCATTTTGAGCATAGTACATTGTCAGAGCCACAAGCAATGGTTGTAATATGAAATATAATACTTACATATTGACAAATAATATAACGAAGAACCTCTCTTTTTTGCCTCTATACTATTTTTATATAAATATTTTAAGGATGCAATTTTCTCTTTCCATAAGCAGAAAAAAAACTATTTGAGGTGGTACATAAATGTTTCCGTCTAGAGAGTACAAATTTATGACCAGACAGTACTGAATTAGAGCAGTTAATCTGATAAATGCTCAATCCCTATGCCCTTTTTTATTTTGTAGTGAGGAAAGACACGTTTGATAAGAATGTGGGTTTTCCCTTAAAATGATGATGTTTTTTGCTGTAGATTTAATGAGCACTTAATTCACCATATTAGAATGCTCTGTAGCTTGATATAGTTTCCACATATTAACCTTTGATAGTCCTCTAAGCCAGTGGTCCCCAACCTTTTTATCGCCGCGGCCCGCTGAGTGCGCGCAGGGGTGGGGGCACGGCCCAGGAGCTTTTGCGCACGGCCCATTGCGCACGGCCCAGGAGCTTTTGCGCACGGCCCAGGAGCCTTTGCGTTGCAGCGTTCATGTCCCCCGGCCGCTGCGCGGCCCGGTGCCAGGTACTCCACGGCCCGGCACCGGTCCGCGGACCGGGGGTTGGGGACCATTGCTCTAAGCCATCTAATGCTCCTAATTCTTCTTTTATATTTTTTTAGATTGTTTGTTTATATTTGCATTTGTAACTATAATCCATATCTATATAGTTTGTATCTATCTATCTAGAATAGAATAGAATAGAATAGAATAGAATAGAATTATTTATTGGCCAGTGTGATTGGACACATGAGGAATTTGCCTTGGTGCATACACTCTCAGTTACATATTTCCTTTTCACTCAATCACATGGTGAATAAGCATGCAATTGTTAAAGCTTAGGTGTGTGCAAAACTTATTTGGTATAATAATTATTGCACAGCAACAGCAAGTAATGACCCTAATAATATTATACCTACTGTCTCATTAAATTCCAATTTTCTAAATTTCTAATGATTTTTACATAGTTTTTTACAATAAAAAGGGAAAGTTGCTCTTCAATCAAGCTTTCCAAAATATATGGTCATGTCTGTAATTTCTTTGCGCAGAACAGACGGGTCAGGAATCTCTTCTCTGAGATTTTTAAAAAACTCTAGTTCAGAAAGCTGGCTGGGAAACGCTGGGTGTTGAAGTCCACACATCTTAAAGTTGCCAAGGTCAAGAAGTTAGGGTTAGGATAATAGGCATATAGTATAAATCAAATATTGGATTAGATTCAAAATCTGCCTGAGTGGATATCCATGGAATTCAAAGGTGAGGTCCACTGGCAGAAGAGATGGCACAGCAATTTTGTTGATATTCCCCTACCCTGTAAATCTAGTGGACAATTCTCCCTAGTGGACAATCATTTAAATATGAGCCAGCAGTGTCCTGTAGCTGCCAAAATAGCCAACACAGTCCTAGGCTGCTTAAGAGAAGGATAGAATCAAGATCACATGAAATGTTAGCACCACTTTATAATGCTTTGATAAGAGCACAATAGGAATATTTCATCCAGTTTTGGTCACCACGATATAAAAAAGGTGTTGAGACTCTAGAAAGAGTGCAGAGAAGAGCAACAAAAATAATTAGGGGACTGGAGGCTAAATCAGATGAAGAACAGTTGCAGGAATTGGGTATGTCTAGTTCAATAAAAAGAAAGATTAGTGGTAACATGATAGCAGTGTTCCAACATCTAAGGGGCTGTCACAAATAAGAGGGGGTCAACATATTCTCCAAAGGAATAGATGGAAACTACTCAAGAAGAAAGTCAACCTAGAACTAAGGAGAAATTTCCTGACAGTTATAACAATTAATCAATGGAACAACTTGCCTCCAGAAATTGTGGGTGCTCCAACACTGGAGGGTTTTAAGAAGAGATTAGATAATCATTTGTCTGAAATGGTACAGGGTTTCTGGCTTGAGCAGGGGGTTGGACTAGAAGACCTCCAAGGTTCCTTCCAACTCTGTTATTCTGTTCTGTAAACCTCACCATGCTCCCATAATCAGCTAAATATGTCCATGATTATTTGCAATAGTGGGAGAAGTTGAAAAAGGGTATTAATGAATGTTTCCTTTTTTACTGATGAAAATATCCTGAGCAGATGTCAACCAAGGAAATGATCCTATTTTCAGAAAAGGAGCTGGATTCAGCTCGGTGCTTATACCGTTATGTAAGTAGAATGTTCTGTGACAGCTATAGCCTGGGAGAATTCTCTAGAAGTCATTATAGCACAAAAATCAGCTAATGATTTTGATTGTGTCATTTAGGATTAAAAGTTCACCTGGAAGCCAACCTAAATTCCCTCATTAGGAGGGAAATGGCTGATTCAAAAGTGACTGTAAATAAGTTGCTAACATTTTAGGCTCAAAACGATGAATAGCTGTGATGAGAATCTGCATGTGTTAGATAAGTAATAATATTTCAAGTTTTTGGAACACTGTGTCCACCCAGAGCAGCCCACATTATAAGGTATTAGCCCTTCGCTGACGATCAGTGGATTAAGACATCATGAATAATTTTTTTACTTTCTTACTGAAGTGTGACTAATTCTGGCATTTCTCAAACTAGATGAGAATCTTTGAGTGCAGCCCCATGCATTCTAAACTCTCTTCTTTTGTTAAATGTTCAGCGAACAGTGAAAATGCCATTTAGAGCACATTCTATATAATCAAAACTTTTCCCCAAGGGAGTGTGACAGTGTTTCTTTTTCCTAGCCCAATCCAACAGTTGTTTGGGGGGGGGGGAGTCAAAGCTGTTTCCCAGGATGCTATGGATTCCTTCTGAGAGTCTCAGTCGCATCATCATGATTCTTAAAGTTTGGGGTTATAGTTTGAAAAAGATTTCCTTAAAAAGTATCCTCATATATATCACATTTAAGGAGGATTGCTCAGAAACTCTAATATATACGTGACATATCATAAAGCTATTAACTCCTAATTTTAGAACCTTGCAAATATACGTTTTAATGCTTTCTGTGTTACGTTCCTATGTCTTTCATTATGTTTCACTTGTCACGGACCATGATAACGTTTTATATAGGTTACCATCAACATGTGAAATTAGGCATTTTATAGAATGTCTAGGAATTCTATAGAATGTCAAAGCTGGGATGTCAAAGTATGAAATGCTTAATATTTCATTTCCTAGGCATTCTATGCTTTGCCAAAAGGCAAACCACCAAAGTATAAAACATTTCTGCTAAAATGCCATTCTAGCCTTCCTTGTTGCAACAATGCTGGTCTTTTTCCTCTTGATTTATTTTTTCAGTAAGAAAGTTCTGCACTTTATTTTGCATTTCTTCTTTCATTTTTATCTATGTCTTTTCAATAAAGAGGGGTTAACCACACCTCCGGGTGTTTCACTGCGCACTGAAGACCCTGTTGTTCTGCCAGGCAGGGCTATCAACATAATAATTTTAAATTGGGGTATTTTAAATTTTTGGGGTTTTAAATCGGCCAAATCTATTTAATTATTTTAATTTTTAATCATTGTTGTGTCCTGTGTTTTTAAATTGGCTGTACACCGCCCTGAGTCCTTTGGGAGAAGGGTGGTATAGAAATAAAATAATAACAATAACAATAACAATAACAATAACAATAACAATAATAATAATAATAATAATAATAATTATAATTATTATTATTATTAGCATTGTAATAAGGAACAGAACTATTTGGCCTCAAAATCATTTACTTATGTCAACCTTTGAAACTGTAGCCCGGAAATGATATAATAACTTTTGTTTTCAAGCACATTGTGTAAACATTCATGTAAGAAATCTATCATTACTAATTCTATGTATCCCTGTTTTCAGTTACCTGCTTCTGTATATTTTAAGCCTATTTTCTCTTCTTCATCCTTTGCTTTGGGTGGGGGCCAGACAGTCTGGAGTCTTCCTGGAGTCTTGTCATCCTGTTCTGAAGGAATTACATCAGCCTGATAAAACAAAACAAAACCACAGAAAAATGTATTATAAAAAATGTATTACAATATTCAACATTAACTTTATAAATTATTGTAAATACACTTTTTTTCTTCTTTTCCTATTTTTATTTTGCAGTACTTTTAACTTGAAGAGGAGGAATAAAAATGAAAGCTTGCACATATTTGGGGACTTTTTATGTGGTTCAGGTAGAATTTAATCATATTATATTTTTTTACTAGTGGATCATCTTCTGCATTTTTCCCTCTTTGTATAAGGTATCACAGTAACTTAACACTCCATGTAAGCTTGTTATCTTTATATACATTTCAAACATGGGATTACCAACTATAGAAAATGATAGACAACACACAATGGCACAAGATTAAATTGACAGTGTCAAACTAGATGAATGTCCAGGTTGTTAACACCCATGGTGTTAATTTGTGTAGCATAATAATCATCAATTTACATTACCCTGTAGGTTTATTTTTAAAGATAAAAGTGTAACATATATCATGATCCTGGTTTAAATCTCTTGGACAAAAGCAAAATGTTAATGCATTAGATATAAACAAATTATTTTAAAATGTTTTTACCAGGAGTATTTGCCTACCAATATGTTGACTAATTGTTGATTTGTTTAAAAACAAATTAAAATAATGAGTAAGTCACAAATCTATAAATTATAGGGAAATAAGCCTCTCAATTGTCACCTCTCTCTCTCTAAATGAAATATAATCTGACAATTCATCCATACAAGATTTTGCCTATTAATTTATAATCTATATTTGCATAATGTACATTGCTATTTTATACAATATTGTTTTTATGCACAACTTTTATCAAGATAATCTAGTACTGTGCTGAGAAAAATAAAATGGGGGGCAGCCTCAGTTTGGTGGTACATTTTCTGCATTAGAAGTTACTGTCATTATTTTAATTCTTCCCACTCAAGAAACCTAAATATCAAAAACTCCAGGCTTTTGCAACTATATTCTAAATGTAGCACACAAGAGAATCAATCAACCTACTGGTTTTGTTTCTGTGGCTGCATCACCGGATTTTGGTTTAGATCTCTCAAATATTGCCATCAAAGTTTCCTTTTCATGTTTCATTTTGCGTTTTATTGCTTCTAATTCTGAAGTGTCAGCAGTTGTCTCTTTTTTGGGAGGACGTGTAAATAAAGCTTTAAATGCATCCAGTGCAGATTCTGCAGGACTTGGTTTCATTTCTTCACTTGGATCCGTTCTCACATAAGATTTCCTTTCTTGGACCTCTCCAGATGCTAGTACTACGTCATCAATACTTTTCTCCTCAGTTTTAGGCCCTAACAACTGAGAAAGCTGTTCTAGAAAGGTAGGAGAACCTTTCGGCTCTGATATTTTCTTCTTGGTTACCGGCTCAGGTGCAAGATTTGACTTCTTAACGGGCTGTCTTAGTTTGAGCATAGCTAGATCACTGTCTTTCTGTTTGATTTCGGTGATAGTTTCCTCTGGATCTGCAGACAACCCTTTCTTTCGAACACGTAATCCACTAAAGAAGGCTGGGAGCTGAAAGGACTTTTCACTCAAAGCTGGTTTTGTAGGAGAATCAGCGCTGCAGTTACTTGAAAGAGATCCCTGCTCTTCTTCAGCTTCCTGAATATCTTTTGCTGTAGCAATTGAACCAATAGGTTCCTTGATTGGTGTTCTAACCTTTGAACTTGAATACATTTCTGGTATTGTATCCTCCATTTCTTTTGACGGCCATTTGCAACTTGGTAGAATTGGCTCTGTGTTATCCCCTGCTATAGTACTACCCATTTCTGTATATAGTTCTGTGTCTTCTTTATTTTGATAATTATCTTCCAATGATACAGCACAATTTAACACAGGGTAGTTTGTTACATTTCCATGTGAGTCTACATCTGTAGCCTCATTGTCTAATTCTGTGTCACTTGTATGAGCCAAAGTACCCTGAACAAGAATGGAATCCTTATAATCTTGTTTGCTGAATTCACACAAAGGAGAGTGGCTAGAATAGGAATCGGAGAGGGATGGCTCCTTCTGCTCCCTTTGCTGTGTTTCCAAGTCTCTTGTCCCATAAACATCAGCCTGATGATCATCTGAGACAAAAGCATAGTCTATAGAGGTATTATCTATGCTGTCATTATCTTCAGAATCAACAAAGTTTCCAGCATAAATTCTGCACACATTTGAAGCACCAGTAATGGTTTCTGCAGGGTCATTTGAAGCCCAATCATCCATTCCTGAGACCGCCTTCAAAACAAATATGTCTCTTGTGTCAGCTTCTGGAACAGCCTGAACATTACTTTCCTCCTGCACCGTTTCTGGAAGCAGATCAGCTGTATTTAGATCAGCTTCTTCATTTACTATGTTCTTCTCATCCTCTTTGTCTATATGGCTATCAATATCCCCATTGACATTATGAACTCCTTTTAAAACCACTTGCTGATTTGAAGTTCCTGGTTCTAATTTATCTCTAAATCCAAACAGTGCTTTCATAGAAAATTTAGTTAAGAAAGCATGGCTTGCTTCAGTCTCTTTCTCCTTCCCTGGATTAGGCAGTTTACTGCAATCACTATTTTTTTCCATGTTGGGCAAATCAAAACACACATATATTCCTGGAACAAGAACTAGTTATGTCTATATAATTGCTTCCAAGAAATGTTTTTTTCATTCAGTAAGTAAATTGAATCATTATGGAGGGAAGCTGTTTCTCCAAATCATACACTGTTTTTCCTACAACATAGTGGTACGAAATGCAAATCCCTGCCAACGCTTACAACTTTAGTACAGAAGAAATAGGAAGATTTCACTCATTTTGCATGCCACGTTTTCTCAGCAGCAACACTTTTTACACAAAAGGCTTTTTTTTTTTTTGTCAAGGCAAATCTGCAAACTAATCGACTGAACGCACAAGGCACAGTTTGGTGAATTCCAAAGCTTTTTACTTTCTAGAAAATAGAGTTAAAGGTTAGTACTGAACAACTGGTACTTGCAGTTTGCTATTTCCTTATGCCGGCTCAGGAGTCACAAAAAGCTGTCAGCAGAAAATTTCAGAAAGATCCCCACTGTGGTCAAAAGCTGCTTTAGCAAAATCTTCAGAGCGGCTACGTATCAGAAATTGTGGAAAATCTTGATGGATTGGAATTTATTTGAAGTTCTTTGCTAAAACATGCCTTGTCTTCTGGAGAATTCCAAATGTTGAAGAGTGGAAGTTAACTGACTGTACTGCCCTTGAAGCTGAATAATAATAATAAAAAGAAAACACTCTTCCGCTTTTGGTGCAGGTTTGGTCTGGAATGTAGCTTGCAGCGAGTGAACATCAACTAAGAGGACTGGTTTCATATTACCGTGTTTCAAACTCTGCAAACTGTGGCCCACAAACAGGTACTAATCAGCCAGTTTCACCACACCCACGGATTAGAAGTTATATGGGAGGGCAAAGTAAACAGAGAGAATATTCATTAACTCTGAGAGAACAGGACATTTGGAAATATGTATTTCCGCTGTCTTTTCAAATGTACACATGGGGATTTGCATATATACTTTATACACACAATTATTTGAATTCTGAATACCTCTGCAGTTAAGGACTTGTGATCGATCTTATTTATTCATTTTATGAAAGAAAGCATCCTGAACAGGTAGTGTTGCTGGCATAAAATTTAATAGTGTAAAGTGGGTCAAGGAGCAGCAGGTTTTCAGCTTACTTGCTTAACATTTATCAGTAATTTCCCCCCCCCCCTAAAATATAAAATTTATTGGATGAATTACCATGTTTCCTTGAAAATAAGACCCTGTCTTATATGTTTTTGAACCCAGAAATAAGTGCTTGGCCTTATTGCCATGCGCTCAAAAGCCCAATTGGGGTTATTATCAGGGGATGTCTTATTTTGGGGAAAACAGGGTACATTGGAGGCATGCATTGGCTTTTGAAAACCAGACAAGGCCAAAGCAAAAAGAAATATTAATTTAGTTTAAATGGAAATAGAATAATTAATAGAAGCTAAGATAATTCTTTAATATAATAATCCATACATTCGATCACATTAGAAATTAGTGACAGGGCTGCTTAAGGAACTTCACCCACAGCTTTTGGTGGCTGCAAAAACCTTGAAGGTTTTTAAAATATAGTTTTATACATTTTGTCTATTCCATTAGGTGCATAAGTGCACAAACGTGCCTACCGTCCCTGTCCTAATGTCCCTTTTTATTCGTATCCATTTCATGTATTCATAATCATGTTCATACTTTTATCTGTATTCTTATATATGCTTGACAAAAATAAATAAAATAAAATAAAATAAAATAAAATAAGTTAGGTGTAATATTAAATCCCTTCATTCCTTCCCTCTTCAATATCTGTTTATGGGACATAGTGTACCCTTGAGAATGGAGAAGGGCACAGTTTCCTTACATGAGGAGAGAAACCTCCAATTCTGCAGGAAGAAAGAAAGCCTTTTTGTCAATCCTATAAGATAGGCCCGGCTAAGAAACCAATGCCATAAAGAGGAAGACTACTTTTATTATAACAGCCATAGAGGAATCCTGCAAGCCTGAAGCCTGAATGTGTTTCTTTTCTTCTTTTTATTTTTGTGTGAATTAGAAAAGGTATGTCTGAGACATTTTCTCAAATTAGTTTCTTAACTAATCATTGCCTCTACCTCCTTCTTTCATGGCCATCCCTTTACACCTTCCCAAATTCCCTTTTTTTGAACACAGTCATAGCCTGCTCACCTTGATGAACGTCTTACTACTCAAAATGTATATAATTATAGTCTAATTATTGTGCTTTGGAAATTAAAACCAGTGATGTAACATCTTAAGTGGAATATTTGTAGACAGGGTAATGAGATTTTATTTGCTTTGGCTAAATAGGTCACAGCTCTTTCCATCTATTCAGCTTGTACATATATATATGTTTACTTGATAAATGCAAGCAATATCTGCTGTTGACATTGATAAATAAAGTAAAAATGATTATTAGTGTCATAGAAATCTTTAAACATTTGGACTGTGCCATCTGGAAGATTTTTTTTGTCCAAAGTTCTATCACAAGGCTAAATTAAATGAGGGTGAATAAAATTAATAAATATATTATTCTCCATTGCATTCTAGCACTGGAAAAGTATATTCTAAGGTCTTGTCTTTCTCAAATATAATTGCCAAGGCCATGTTCCTCACACCATGATATAACTAAACTATAAATTTCAACAAATTTAACAAATTGAAAAACAGCAGGGAATTGGCATAGATTTAAGAAAAGGATTGTGTTGATTTCCTTCATATGTAATATTACATTACAAAGGTATACTGTAGTTTCTATTTACTATATTGTTGAAAGAAATTATGATTCTAATGGAACAATCTCATTATCAGATATCATCTCTGAATGTGCTTCACACATTAAAGCCTAGGTTATTACTGCAACAAGATTATAGTTAAATGCTTCCGGTATTTAGAAGGACTCAAACAATTTAAGAATCAATTAGAAGATGTCCTTCCTCTTACAAGTTCATGCCATTGGGAGCTTATTTGGAAGCAAAACATATTGATGACCCTAAATGAGAGTAAGAAGAACCTGGAGATCTTGGGCATTTACAGTTGCATGCAAACTTTAAATCAAATTGTGTGTTAACTATTCATAAAAGAGCAAAGATGGATTCAAATTTGCAGAGATATTTTGTACTGAATTCTGCACCATGTAGAGGAAGTTTCAGCTTCAGTTTACTCATGGATTCATTCAAACCTACAATTTCACCAGAGATGTTTCAACTAATAATCTTAGTTTAGAAAATAATAATATAATAAACTAACTGTCGGCATGTGAGTCGTCACCCGGCTCAGCTCCACTGCACATGTGCACCTCCCGCCGGCCAGATAATTTTCAGGATGGGGGCAGGGCGCATGCGGGAGATGAGTGCGCATGTGCAGGGATAGGGGGGAAGGTGGAGTTGTGTGGTGCCCCCCGCGGCCTGTTTTTGGTCCCAGGAGGCTGCAGGTGTTTCAAGTAGTTTTAATCAAAATGCAGTTAAAACGCTATAGAAGCCATCAAGAATATAAATACATATATACAACAGGAACAGTAAGTACCTCACAGGAGCAAATAGAGGTAAATACTAGATAGGTAGGAAATGCATCACAAAACAATGCAGATGAATGCTAAAGAGGAGTAAAGCTGCATACAAGGCAGACATAACACCTATGGTATAGAGATACCAATGTATAGATATGGGTGTAGACATAACGGGGCGGGAGGATCATGCACATGCACGGGGGTGCAGAGGAGCATTGTGGGGGTTGTGTGCACATGTGCGGGGAGCATGGGGGGGTCATGTGCACATGCGTGAGGGGCCTCCACATTGCATTATGGGTGGTGTCACGCACGCATGCTGTCACACGTGCATGCACATACTTTCGGCATCCAACAACAAAAAGGTTAGCCATCAGTGATCTAAGGTTATGCTAATAAAAAGCATAATGCAGGATAGAATGGAGGGACCACACCGGTCACTCTGTCTCATTCTCTCTCTCTCATTCTCCTATCAAACTTTGTAATACCCTGCCATGTGAAATAATAAATGAATTATGCAGCACCTTTCATTAAAACACCTAAATAATAAATAATAGTTAAATAACAAAATAATAATCTGCTATAGAATATGGTTTTGATAATTGGATAGACTCATGAATTTAGCTATTATTCAAAACTCATTCCAGGCTTGGCAGCCTATTTTGTCCAGGAAAGCTTTTTTTAAAAGCTTTCCTGGACAAAATGTAAACCTCCTTAAAAATGTAACCTCCTTTTATATCTCAGTATTTATTCTTTTCTTTCAGACTTATCTATTCATCTTACCTGGTAAATGGGAAAGACAATTGATGAGCCAGGAGTAAAAAAAAAATAATCTCCTTGAGTAAACTTTAATTCCTGCTATCTATGTGGACATGTCATTTTCTTGGCAACAGTGCAAAAGTAATTTGCAAATGTTTTTTTCTAGGATGTTTTTGTCTTTCAAACCTAATTTTCAAGCCTGGCAGTCTTCCATTTAAATACTAATAAGATTTCACCTTGTTTAGCTAAATTAATGTTTCTCAATCTGAACAACTTTAATCTGCATGGACGACAACTCCAGGATTCCCTCAGCTAGCTTGCTAGTGGGAAAATTCTGGAAGCTGAAGTCCATTCATATGAAAGGTCCTGAGGATCATAGAGTCATAGGGCTGCAAAGGACCTTGGAGGTCTTCTAATTCAACCCCTGCCCAAGCTAAGCATCAGGGTAGAGACCAGAAATGGATTTCAGCAGGTTTTGACCAGTTCCGAAGAACCGGTAGCGGAAATTTTGAGTAGTTTGGAGAACCGATAGTAAAAATTCTGACTGGCCCCGCCCCATCTATTCTCTGCCTCCCAAGTCCTAGCTGACTGGGAGGAAATGGGGATTTTGCAGTATCCTTCCCCTGCCATGCCCACAAGCCACACCCACCAAGCCATGCCACACCATGCCCACCCACAGAACTGGTAGAAAATTTTTTGAAACCCACCACTGGTTGAGATGCCCTTTTTTATGTAGAGTTTATGTAGAACATGCCTTTCTTGGCATAAACCTGTTCAGGATTGGCAGTAGAAGTGCTCTTACCAAATTTCACAATGCAGTGACCCATGTCTCATGCTCAAGCTAAGGAGCTATATTTCGGTATCATTTTTTCTCCAATCAAGAAAAGAAATAATTGTCTTCTTCAGCCAAGGTTTTTAAGAAATGGTACTAATAGTAGTTCAGTGTTCACTGGGTGTGTTTGTGTGTTAATAGACAACATTTTATACTAAGAGCCCCTTTGAAAGCCCAACTGACAGAAAAGCAGGATATCAATTTACAGAGTAAATAAATATAGGTAGTCCTTGACTTATAACCACAAATGAGTCCCAAATTTATTTTGCTAAACAAGGTAGTTGTTAACTGAATTTTACTCCATTTTATGACACTTTTGCCACAGTTGTTAAATAAATCACTGTGGTTATTAAGTGAAACATGAGGTTGCTAGGCAGATCTGGCTTCCTTCATTGTCATCTTTGCTTGTTGGAAGTCAGTTGGAAGATTACAAATGCTGATCACATGACCCAGGGACGGTGCAACTGTCATAAATATATGCCAATTGCCAAGCCCCTGGATTTTGATCACATGACCATGGAGATGTTGCAGCAGTTGTTAAGTGTGAAAACTTGTCACAAATCACTTTTTTCAGTGCTGGACATTAAATGAATGGTTGTAAGTTTAGGAATACTTGCAAGAACTTAGGAGCAGTGGTGAAATCCCCCCCCCCCCCCGGTTCTATCTGGCTCACAGAACTGGTAGCACCGGTGGTGGGAGGCTCTGCCCACCTGCTGGG